GCGGCTACAATATCCAGACCGTAACTGAGCCAGGGTAACGCGGGTCTTTCTAGGTAACTGAAGCTCCGTCTCTTCCACAGGTGGTGATTGGGCTCCGATAACGACATTCCTAGGCCGGGAGTCGAGGTAGGTGGAGACAGACTCCCTATGAATGTCGTTAATCGCTCGTCTGTACGTCATTGGGTCCAGTGGTTGGACTGTGTAGGTCTGGACTGCGTCCTTGTACATGAATAGGTGCCCCCTGACGTGCCTGGGCGGAGGCTCCTCCTCCAGCAGTGGTCTGTTGGGGTGTTCACTTCTGTGACACCCCACAAGAAACTGCTTACAGAGCATCTTGTTGTGTTCCCTTACGGGGAGCACTTGGGCCTCACTGTGTAGGTGATGCTCAGGCGTCATCAGAAGGCACCCAGTCGCTGTCCGGAGTGCGGCGTTCTGACAAGTCTGTAGCTTCGTCCACTGCGTCCAACTAGTCCCCGGCGTCCAAACTGGCGCAACATAATTTCGGCCAATTGCCTTGTATGTTGCCAACAACGTTTCTTTGTCTTTGCCCCAAGTGCTGCCGGCGAGCGACTTGAGGACCTTGTTGCGGCTCTGTACTTTGTTGACAACTGCGGTTGTGTGCGCGGAGAAAGAGAGCAGGCTATCAAAGGTAACCCCTAAAATTTTCGGGTTGTTCACCGTCGGTATTGGTGTGCCGTCGACGTGAATGCCTAATTCAAGCCTGACCTCCTTCGTCCAGGTGGTGAAGAGGGTCGCCGTTGATTTCGTTGGGGAGAGGGTTACGCTCCTTGCAGTGAAGAAGCGAGAAAGGCTGGAGAGATAGCCGTTTACTTTTGAGCAGAGGTCATCAATTCCATTCCCAGACGCCAAAATCGAACAGTCATCAGCGTAGGAGATCAGGGAAACTCCTTCAGGTGGCTGGGGGAGTTTCGAGATATAGAAGTTAAAAAGTAAGGGGGAGAGAACACCACCTTGTGGAACCCCTTGTTTTATTCTTCTAGGTTTCGAGGTTTGATCTCTGAAGATTACTGATGATTGCCGACCACTCATATAATTCGCCGACCATCGCTTCAGTCCCTGTGGGAGAGAGGAGGCCTCAATGTCTTCTAGCAGCGTGGAATGGCAGACGGTGTCAAACGCCTTTGACAAGTCCAGCGCTACTAGGACAGTTCTCTCACAGGGGCGGTTTCGATTTAGGCCGCGGGTTATCTGGGTGTTTATGGCGTTAAGTGCTGTTGTTGTGCTGTGCACTTTACGGAAGCCATGCTGATGTTTCGCTGGGGTTAGGTGGCAGGTGAAGTATGGGAGCAGCAGGGCCTCAAGTGTCTTCGCGACCGGGGAAAGGAGCGTTATCGGGCGATAAGAGTCTCCTCTGTTGGCGGGCTTCCCCGGTTTCAGCAGTGGGACCACTCTCCCTGATTTCCACACATCAGGAATGATGAGAGTGGTCATAGACAAATTGAGGACCTCCGTGAGGTATGCTACCCCCACAGGCCCCAAATGTTTCAACATCAGCATACAGATTCCGTCGGGTCCAATGGCTTTGGAGGCTTTCGCCTTCCCGATGGCCCCCTTTACTTCACCGCTGGTGAAAACAAGTGGTGCATCGTTTTTGGGCAGTTTGTGCAGCCTCCTGGTCACTCGACGTTTGGCCTTGTCTACCGAAGGATGCAGTGTGAATTGCCGACTGAAATAGTTCGCGTATTTCTTCGGGTCCGATGAGGCGTGACCTTCGAATGAAATTTCCACTCAGTCATCACGCTTCGTCGGGTTGGACAAGGACCTCACGGTTGACCAGAGCTTACTCACACCAGAGGTGAAGTTACAGGCCTTCAAGTGCTCTTCCCACTTTGTCCGCTTGTGTTGATTTACCAGTTGCCGAATCTCCAAATTAAGTTCCCTCAAGCGAGGGTCCCCGGGGTCGACCTGGCGTAGGTGGTCACGCTCATTTGCTAGTACAGCTGCTTCAGCCGGGAAATTTGGGCGGACTTCCGCGATGCGTCCGGACGGTATGAAGCGAGCTGCTGCGGCTGTGACTACCTTGCGGAACTGGCGTTCGCCAGCATGTACGTCTGTGGGTGTGGGGAGGGCGGCGAAGCTGCTCTCGGTAACTTCCGCGAAGCCGTTCCAATCAGCTTTGTTGAAGTTGGTGTAGGTTCGGTGATCCGCGGGAGCAAAGTCGGTGGGCTTATTGATCGAGATGATTATGGGCAGATGGTCCGATGCTAACGTTAGCATAGGTCGCCATGATATGCTATTTATCAGACCAGCGCTAGCAATTGTTACGTCTGGCGAGCTGCTGCAGCTGCCCACAATCCTGGTGGGGGCGTCGTCGTTCATGGTGCAGAATGTCGAATCGTCTATCTGCTCAGCCAAACTGTTTCCCCTCCGATCATTGGCCAGGCTTGAGTGCCAAAGATCGTGGTGCGCATTGAAGTCACCTACTACCAATCGGTTTTCGCCTCTGAGTAGCGCACCTATGTCAGGGAGATATCCAGCCGGGCAGCAGGTGACAGGGGGGTATGTACACGTTAAATATTTCGAGCTCGACATCGCCTGACCGGACAGCTATGCCCTGACATTCTAGGGTAGTGTCCCTTGGGTCGATGTCTTCTTCGATTAGCCGATACTGCACTGTGTGGTGTAGAATGAACGCTAGTCCACCACCATTATCTCGCTCGCGATCTTTACGGAGCACATTGTAGGCGGCGCAACCCAACAGAGTTGAGTTGCTGTGCAACTTCGTTTCTTGGACCGCAGCTATCAATATGCCGTGCCGACCCATGAAGACTGCTATCTCCTCAATCTTGCTCTGGAGTCCGTTGCAGTTGAGTTGGAGTACGTTTATGTGCCTTGGGAGGCTGGTCGCGATACGGGGGGTCAGAGAAGTGTGGGGCCTACCTTGCCCTACCAGCCTGGGTAGGTGGCTGCGATATGGGCGTTGTTGTCTGCGTCGGCGGTGCACTACAGCAAGGGGCGCTGTAGTTTGTAGTCCATTTGCGAGTGGTGCGTAGACCAGAACATAGCCGGAAGTGACACCAGCCAAGGCATGTGTTGCATTTGACTGATGTCACATTCCGGTATATTCTGCTCTGGCACACGGAGCAGATGGTGTGGGCAACCAGTAGCTGCTGGTTGGCTCGCGCTCGCGAGTGGGACCGGCCGGTAGGTTGTGTGGGAGGGGTGTGTTGGGAGGTTTGCTGTTGCTCAGGGGAGCTTCTAGGGGCCGTGCAGGCTCTTCGGGTGCTAGGTCGCACCCGTGCATTACGCGAGTGGGTAGCCGTGGAGGCTGATTGTGCCATTTGGCTTGAGCAACAGGGAGCCACAAAGTTTGTGGTCCACTCCCGGTGAGACCTAAGGCCAGAGCAGGTTCTTAGGTGACTCCACCCGTTGCAGGAGTTGCACCTAACCGAAGTGGAGTTCGGGTGGAGTCGATTCTGGCAAACACAGCAGAAGTAAATTTCAGGTCCGGGGTTGGGCTCTACGCCCGCCCGGAGAAGAAGGATGCGGAGCAATCCGGCTGCAAGGTATTGCTCCATGGACGGATAATGATTAATGGGTATCGCCAATCTAGACGGGGTTAGATCGCCGAAACAACAGCCCTTGGTCGGGTGAAACCCGAGTCATTCCGGTACGTAGAGCCGGCTGTCGTGGGAATGAATGGTGGTCATTTGGTTTGGGAGTCAGGAGCATCCACTTCTGCGGGTGCTTCTTTATTAAAACCAGGTAGAGATGTAATACTTGAGCCCACAGAAGTGGTTGCCTTTCTACCCCAAGCGTCGGTGAAAATGTGCTTCCTGAGCCCGGATCATCCATATGTTCAGATGATTCATTTCTCATTGAGCGTGGGTGGAGTGAAACTGACAGTGCTTTTCTTTTTTTATAGACTTCGTATTTGAACAAAATGAAGGGGACATCAGAAGATGTCGGCACTGTCATTCGCGGCATCTTCACGGATGACCTGCTTCACAACTACAATTGGGACGGGACATGGGCGCTTAATAAACTTAATATTATTAATAATATTCTGCGAGGTACTTTCTTTAATCTACCAAAGAAAAGCTATTTTTATAAGATATCTTTTTGCATTTCATTTCAGATGTATTCCAGAAACAAGGGGCCCTCAACTTCGAAAGAAGTGTGCGAAAGGCGGTAGAACTGAGCCACCATCGCGTTCAACAAAAAAAA